AGTCTAGTTACTGAGTTTTTCTATGTTTTCTTTCCTAGAGTTTTTGGTCGAGGGATCTACAGGGAAGAGTTTTTTTTCAATATCTAAATTAAGTAAATAAGTTTATACATTAAAAAAATAGAATTTACAAATCACTTATTTTAATGTAAATATGTTACTTATTTTATCAAAAATCAGATACCAAACTATTAATTTTGAAACCCCCTATTGATTAAAGATTAATGCCTGATTTTATGTAATTGTTTTTAATTCGGAAACAATTACAGTGTTCAAGTATGCAAGTATACTTTGAATAAAAATTTTATTTGCTATTTTCATCTATTTCAAAAATCTCTATAAATTATAAAAATTATACATATGCAATTGTATTAGTATAAATAGATCTATTTGATGATCTATTTTTAATTATTTTAAAAATATTCGAATCATAATCAACATTACAGTGCTTTGTTGATCTAAGTTAATTATCAATATGAGGACAAACTGTAACCCCTTGGCACTTTCTTTGGTCTTTAGTAATGTCAATATTACCAAAAAAAGGACATTTAACTTTTGCTTGACCACCAGTACCTAAACTATACTAGATCTAAACATATATATATATATAGTATTAATAGATACTATATATACAATTAATGGTATATTTTTTTATTTAAATTATAATACTTGCATTATGAAATACAGCATGTGCTTTTTTTTTTAGATCTTCTTGAATTAGAGCTGTATTTAGTACTTGATTACTACCATTATTATAATCTTCAAGATTAAGCACATTATATATAGTAGCAAAACTTGAGGGTCCTTTGTCATTTTGCAGACTAGTTGAAGGATATTCAACTGAAACAGTAGAGTAATATATATTGTCAGCTTTAACAGCTAGATGTGTTGTAAAATAAGCAACAGTTCTTCAATATTTTCAGTTTCTCCAATATCTTCAATTTCTTCAATGTCGTTAACGATTTCTATAATATTTTCATTAGGGTTGGACTAAAATTAAATAAATTAATTTATGTTATATAAACTTTCTAATATATTAAACTACTATATATTCCAAACTGTTTTATATATATCTGTTTAGATGTCATATAATACATACTATTTGTTTGATATCGAATTCAATTTCTTCTTTAGAAAAGATTTCCATTGTTTTTTTTTTTTTTTTTTTACGAAATCAGTTAGATCATAATATAAATGATTTTTTTGCATTACAAACAACAGCATGACTAAAAAATATTAAAAAACTTATTGAAGTTAGTACATATCAATTTAGTTATAGTCATAGATACATATACATAGCATGAATATTTTTAATTTATACCAAAACAAGAAATTTTACATATATTGTATTAAACTTTATGCATTTAGCCTGGTTAAAACTTGAAATCTGAAATTTTAAAATTCTTAGCGCTAAGTAGTAATTAGGTCAATGAACTTGACCACAAAAAAACTTTCCTCCAGCTGACAATTTAACCCAAGCCAAAACTGAAATAATTACTTTATTAGAGCAAAAAGTAACCACTAATAACATTAAAGATGACACCTTTTGATAAAAATTAAAAATTAATCATCACTTAAAGGTTGGAGAAAATAATTTAAAAGAATATATTAGCGAGGCCAATACTCTAGCAGAACTAAAAGAAAGAGAAAAAAATATTTTGGCTGTTATTAAAAAGTTAATTGAAGGAATTCCACCTTCTCAAATTAACCACATATTAAAAGTCGGTAGTATATAAGTATCTGAAATATAATTTAACAAAGCTTTTTAATATTTTGGTAAAATGTAAAACTATTAATCATGATATTTCATTAAATTAAAATAAAGTTCACTATTATTTACTATTAATAATAAAAGTATTTGAGATTAACTCAAAACTAGCAATATTAGATAAAATCATTTTATATAAATGCGAAAAATAAAATCTAAGGCCAGAGAAAAAAGAAAAATGGGATCCTCTGACAAAATAATTAAACCTGTCAAAAGTTGAAATCTCTGGTAAAGACAAGACTATTTGTTTAAGGCAAAAAGTCTAAAGGCAGGATCTAAACTTTGTCAAAAGACAAAACCCTGATAATAGCTAAGCTATATATTAATAAATTACAATGTTTGTATTGTGGTTAAATTGTGGCTTATATTGAAGAAATATATAAACCAACTTTGTTTTACCAATAAAATAAATGAAGCTTATTAAATTTATGATTTACTGAACTTAACTCATAAGTGAAGTATATATAATCAAATATGCTACTGATCAGATTTAAGGGCCGTTAGACAAATGCTCAAACTTAATATAAATTTTAGATTCTTTTAATAATGCTTATTTATGAATTATTAGACAAAGCAATTTGGTTTAAGGCTTTTTAAAATAAAGCCTCAAATATTTAATTTAAATAAACTTTAAAAAACTTGAGGCTTTTATTTTGTATTTAATAATATTGATTGAATCCACTTGAATCCAAAAACTTTTATTTTCTGTAATTTACTTACTAAAGTTATGTGTGATTACGAAATTCCAAGTTATAATGTTGACGCAATTTTTTTGTTAAGCAAAAAAAAAAATTTTTGCATATGTATAATCAATGAACATTGTAACTAATCTAATTAGGTAATTGACAAGAGAAATGTTTATAGAAGGATTTTCATCTGATTGGTTGATGTAAATCAATTACCTGGGTAATTTATTTATACTCTTTAGAGTACTTGTTAAGAACATGATGTTTACAAATAAAAAATCACTGTAAAAGTTATTCTTGGTTTTAAATGAATGTTAACATTCATTATACAAATAAATCTAAAAAGAATCTACCTCCTGACTAGTAATGCTGTAGAATCATCATAACTATAGTAAATAATATAGAAAGTTATGACATTATTGCTATAACTTTTTATATTACTTACTGTAGTTACGGCAAGTTACGGCTGTGTGATGACTATTATTAGGATGATTCTACAGCATCACTACTCCTGACTTAGAAGACAGAATATATTAACACCTATTGGATTGCATGAAATTATACTGTAAAGTGAAGGTAACTAGAAATGTTTTGTTCAAAATTACTAGATTTTAAATAAAGTTTTGTTACTAACTATTTTAAGTTGGTTAAGTTTAATTTTTTTAATAGATCTATTTTCATAATATATTTGGGCTTGTCAACTGTAAATTATAGTTTATGTCTTGTAGATTCTTTAATAAATTAGGGTCTATTAGTAATAAATATTATAATTATATATCTATTTATTCTCTATATAATTGTAATAATTTTTTTATATATATTTATTAGTTTATAAGCTTCTTTATAAATAGAGTTTTTTGTTTTCTAGTAGCATTAAAATAATAAATTTTTTGTAATATATGATTGGTTAATTATTAAGAGAATTTACAAATAAGGGCCCAAAAACAAAAATAATTATAAATAAGGGTTCAAAATACAATAATTACAGATAGAGGCCTGATATTTAAAAATTATTATAGATAAAGGCCTAAGGAACACTTGAAGAACAAGTACCTCATGATGATCTCAAATTATCCTCTCAATTTTATCATATAGTAAATTTGATTGGCTAGAAAATGTAAACAAATTAGATAATATAATATGTATTACTGATTTGTATAATAATGCATTATTGTTATAGCTTTTATTCAAGACAAGCTTTTGCTATTTATTCTTATTAATTTGTTCTAATCATAGCAGCTATTTCTATTTAAGAATATTTTAACAAGCTATGTAAATTTTTTTTTCTTATTTTTATACTTGTAGTATGAAATTAGGATTTGAAATTGTGAATTAAGAGTTAACTATATAATAAAAAATTAGAATCAATTTAGTTAACTATAACAAAAGAGACTTCATAACAAAGCTATAAATTTTTTTTTTCTTATACTGTTTTTTTATTAGTTTAAGCTATTACTAAATTGTAATATTTATTTCTTTAGCAAGTTTTATTCTTTGAATCAGTACTGTAGTTTGAATTAGAACTTGTTTATTCTACAAACTAAATTAAATTCACTAGAGTTATAATAGTAACTAATATTAAATATTCTATTAAGATTACTTATTTTAAATTATTTATACTAATAAGCAAATGCCTTATATTTAGCATCTTTAGGTCTTTAACAGTGAATAGGTACTTTATATTTCTTACTAGTAATATGAAGCTAAGTTTCTGTTTATTAGTTTAGTTGTTTTATTAGAACTATTATTAAAGTTTTCTATTTGTTTTTTAAGCTAGATTTTTTCTTTTCTAATTGTTTAACTATTTGATTTAGCTATATTACAAATTTTTTAATCTTTATAGATATGTAATTTTTTTATATTAATTTGTATTGTAGCTCATAATAATTTATTAGTATTATAATTAATATTTCTTTTTTATTCAAACTTTAGTAATTATTATTATTGTTATGGATTACTATTTTGTAGTAGAAATCATATAAATATATACAAAATAGGCAATATTATAAAATAAATTATTGGATGTGGTGACCTAGTGAAGTGGTCAGGTTGTTAACCTCCAAGTAGCAGGTCTAGAGTTCAAATCCCATGAACAACAAATTTTGGAAAATAGGTCTGTGTTATGGTAACTGTCTCTGTTGATCGGTTGAATTGGTGTATCTGTAACCTTTGTTGCACCATCTCAAATGGAAGCTCAGGGCATCTATGCTAAGTATAATGTTACACTCATATAGAGGAATGTTAATAACTGTTGTTGTATAAGACTTCAATGCAAACTCATGATAAGACTACCGGGCACAAAAAACAAAGGAACCAAAGAGTCAGAAACCTACTTGGAAATTCCGAATAAGGAGGTAGCACAAAACTTTCAATGGTGCTGTCAGACTAATGAAAGCTCATAAAACACCCCCAAAGGGATAGGTGGATAAACTGGATGACAAGATGTGTAAAGGAGCATATGACCAACCAGGCCACCAGAATTGTCGAAGGAAAAGAATACTAAGGTATACCATATCGGGCCATCTGGATTGGAAGTCCGGGGAGTTCTGTCAGTCCTGAGTAATGGTTAATAGGTGACAATAGAGAGGATGTCAGAAAGATGGGTACTGGGGTTTTGGGTGAACCTTACAAGGGTAAAAGCGGTTTAATGATTAGCCCTGACTGCAAGTAATAGTTTAGGCCAAAGTGTGACCGAGTGAGCTGTAAGTATAGGATACAGAACACACTGGTAGGTTTAGTACAAAGTTAAACATGACTTAGTGACCATGGCATATTTTTACCAATTTACTAAAGTCACTGGTAGGGTGTGGTGGATGCAGGATCAGAGTGTTTAAATAGAGGATCTACAGATGGGTTCTAAGTATAGCAACTAGTGTAGAACCTTTAGGCAGACTACTTAAATTAGACAATGACTAAAGTTGTATAAGTGGCTAGTTGTACACTCTTTCTGTAATTGCCTCTGTGTCTGTACATGTATAGGTGCTAGCCAATTTATACTATCAGTAAAATCCTGGGTCGCATGTACTCACCTTAACATTAAAAAAAAAAAAAAAATTAAATTAAATTATTAAAAGATAAAATTTAAGTTACAAGTATTACAAGTATAGTTATTTTATTATTATTATTAAATTTATCTATTTATTATTTATAGTATGAGAATAATTATTTAAGCAGAATTTATATCTTTTTTTTTTTATTAGGATTTTTTTTTAAAAAAATAAAAACTATTACAATTTTTCTATATTAATTATCTTTTAAAGTAAGCTAAAGATTATTTTAAAGGTAAAATATATAAATTAATTTAAAATTATATATATATTTTTTTTATATAAAAAATATTAATTATCTTGTTTAAATTTTTGCTATACAATATTATATATTCTACTAGTTTGTTAAATACTTCACTATTATTTTTAGTAAAACATTATCTCTAAATATATTTTAAAAAATATATATAAGTTTTTTGTTGTTCTGTACTATAGAAAAGATAATTTTATTATATACCAAGTTGACTCGATCATATTGGTATAAATACTAGTTTCAGAATTCTTAAAGTATTTTAAATAATTAACTTTTCTATGCATCTATTTATACTCTTCAAAGTTATCAGTTTGGTAAGCTTTTTAACAATCACTATAAATTGTAGTTCTTTTTTCTATATACTCTTCTAAAATTTTTAATAAAGTTTCTTTTGTGCAATTAAGGACTGACACCAAGAATATTTTATTAGATTCTCTTTCAATTCTACCAAAAATCTACTAACCTTCTATTTTTTTTCTTTATAATTTTTTTACTTATCAAATTTACTTTCTTTAATTTCAATAATTTTTTCTTTACTACCAATTTTTTTGTTTTTTTAATTTATTAGTATTATATAATATATATTATGATAGAAGTTATAATAATCTTCTATCATTCTAGTATTAATATTAGTTTTATATATAGTAAATATTTGAGGCAATTTATAGGACTAGCAAAATATAATTTTAGTTACTTGATCAAGAGTTAATTTAGAATTTTCTAACTACATTCTTGATCTTACAAATTTAATTTTATTACAGATAGCTTTTAAAGTACAAACCTATTTTTGCTTATTCTTATTAGAAAAATAATTCAATTTATGCATAGAGCTATTATATTCAGTACAAAAATATACTTAAAAAAATATTTAGCTCTTCGAAAAATCTTATAGCTTGTACTATGTCTTGTATTTTGAAATAAATATTACTATAAGTTTTTACTACAATAGATAAAGATTCTATAATTTTAACTATTTTTTTTTTAAAAAAAACTGTATAATATATAATTGAGTAATAATTTAAAATTTTATTTTATTTAAAGATAGCATAAGAAAGCTAAACAAAATAAAAGTAGTTTAATACAAGATATTTAATTTAGATAGATAGAAGAAAATATTACTTTATATAAGATAACTTTATATAAAGTATTTTAGATAAGTAAAAGTAACTTTATATAAAATATTTAATTTTGATAAATAGAACAAGAAAAGATAATTTTATATGACAATTTTAAACAAGATATTTAATTCTGATGAATAGAACAAGCTTTATATGAGATATTTTTGAACTAATACAATTTTTGAGATAATATATACTTTTTTTATAATTTTTTGATTAATTTAAAAATTATTTTTAAAATTAAGAAAAATTCTTAAGAAATAAAAACTTGTTTAGATATAACCAATCCTAAAAAACAAAGATTGGAATTATTAATTTAGCAATATTTAACTAATTGTACTTTTTGAAATATTTAAAAAGTGTATAACCAAAGTACTAATAAAAAGAATATCAGAGATAATTATTAAAAAGAAGATGTTAAAAGGTTCAAACTTTACAGGCTTATCAGAAAGGTTGACAGAAGATACAATCTACACTGTTGAGATGATAGAGAAAAAAAAGTTGGTATCATTACAAAATTTAGAATAATAGAGTAGTTTAAGATAGGCAATAGTATAGAGCAAAATAAGACAATTTCTCTACTAGTATAAAGAATTTTTTATAATTTATTGCTAAGAAAAATTCAAGAGAACTTAAAACTAGATTATTAGGTTAAGTCAAAAGAAATTTTAGATATGGAGTAAATAGTATTAGTATTCAAACAATTAAATAGGCTGTAGTATTATTCGCAGATAACACAATCTGGTTAGCTAAAAGTAAAAATAAAATAAATAAAATACTTAAAATTTTATAAAGATTCTTTAGTTATAATAATATGCAAATTAATAGCAAGAAGTCCAAACTACTAGTAATTAATCTAAGTATAAAAGAGCTAGAGAGATATATTACAATTGACAATGATAAGCTATATATAGAAAAGAAAAAAATATTAATAAGGCTATTGAAAATATGACTAGAAACAAAGATCAATAAAGATTTAGTAATAAGAAAAATCAAGAAAATTATTAGGCAATTTATAAGAATATTGTAATATAAAAAATTAATGATTAGCCAATTAATTTATGTAAATAATATATACATAGTATTCAAACTAGTATACATATTACAAGCAACAAAATGTCTCAAGTAAGTCTAAAGAAAGTGTATCAGCTAATAGTTAGATTAATCAAGAACAAATTTGAATTATTATTAATGATTGATAATTATATAATTATGTATTATGGGCTTGGTAGATATAGAATGTTAAGAAGTTTTTAGTTAACAGATAGTATGTTTACAAAATAAAATAATGAGTACAAAATATTTAGGTGACTTAACTAAAGCCTAGTTAAAAGATAAGTATATACTAGCAGAATTAGTAAATAAGAATTAGAATATATTATTAAATAGTAGTTTTAAATATATATAAAAAAAAAATTTAGCTAATTTAATATTAGCAAAAGATTTTGAAATAATAATTAAAACAAACAGATGTATATAGCAAGTAGAGAGAAATAATAAAACAAAATATAGTATATTAGGAGATAAAGTGTTTAAACTAGTATATAAAAATATTAAAAAGTATAATATATTTTTTGTTAAGCAGCTAGTTAATAAAAATAAAAAAAGAATAATTTTATAGAAAAAGTTTAGAGTTTTGTGAATAAGAATACAAAGAGGACAGAAAGCAAAATAGTTTAAAAAGATTAAAATAGTGCTAGAGAAGAAAAAACAATAAAATTTAAAAACTAGCTTTTAGTTAAAAAAAAATAAAATAGCAATATAAATAAGTGTAAAGAGAGTTTCAAATAATAAAAGAAAGCATGAATAGGTCTTAATTGCCAAAAAAAATAATGAGACATTAATAGAAAAAATAGAAAAAAAAGAAAATTCTTCTAAAGCATTAGAATGTTGCAGCTGATAATAAAGAAAACAGCTCAATTTTGATAAAGTGCAAAGCATATAAAGAGAATAAAGTTAAAGAGAAAGATATATATTAATAATAGATTAATTATAAGCTAGTCATAAGTGCATTGCTACAAGTAGAGAAAAGAAAAAATAAGATTCTAGTATTATTAAAAAAGATTAAACAATACAAAAAAAAAGAAGAATAAAGTAAAAGAAGTAAAGATAAGTGAATCAAGATTAAAAAAAGTAATCAAAATTAATAAGAAAAAAATTAACTTAATTAAACAACAGATAGAGTTAGAGACAAAGTTAATAGAAGATTTTAAAAAAAATAGTAAATTAGATAGGAATAAGTATATATTTTATATAGATAGATCACTAAGAAGAAATAATAATAATTGCAAAATAGATACAAGTTAAGTTCAGATCAATAATAGCAAAGATAGAATTATTTTAGAGAGAAAAATTAGAATAGAGAGATAGCTATTATCAACCAAAGCAGAGCTTGTAGTAGTATGAATAGTAGTAGTTAGTAATAGCAAAATAGTTATTAAATAGTATAGTAGTAATTACAAGCCTTAGTAGGGATATATCACTTAGTAAAAACAAGAGATAAGGCAAAGTAAAAAATTTCAAAAATTAAAGATATGTATAATACAAAAGTAT